AAAATACTTGAGATCCATGGGCAAATTCAAATTCAGAAAATGAAGGAAACTTTTAAGATACCTTAGGAATAATATTACTTTATGTGGGTTCCTTGCCTGAGGCTTTACATGGGTATTCTAAGATAATCTTTGCAGCAATTATGAGAGGCAGGCACCGTCATCAGCACCATTCCTACTGAGAATTGTGCAGGACATGTCTGCCTCATTCAGGTTCATCTAGTAAGGGCTGGGAAATGGAGGCAGTCTTTAAATCCAGGCAGTCTGAGTCCAGAGTTCTGGCTCTAACCACTAAGCCATTAAGGCTCATCACAGCTCTTAATATGCCTTATTTTTAACTATTTCTTTTTTTTTTTTTTTTTTGCATTTCTGACTGAAGCCAGCTGTGGGCTTGCTGCCGGAATTGTCATAATTATTCAAGAAGATGCTACCCCACTCATGGGTGCAGCATCCTATTTAAAGGTAATATCACAAGTTCAAGACAGGTTATGCAAATATTTCCACAGCACCTCCATTGTGTGATTACCCTCCTGCCACAGCCTGATTTCAAATTCCTGTTCACGAAAGCTAATTTGGAGCCAAGGAGGGTCGGATGCACAAAATCCTGGAAATCATATGAGAAATTCCTTTTCCTCACAGGTTTATAGCAATTAAATCCTTGATAATGAATTGCTCATCAATTCCACAGGAGGTGGAAGTGATTGCCTCTGCAGGTAGCAATCATTTTGTGCAATTGCCACAATTATCAATCCCCTTCAGGATGATTGGAATTTAGAAATAGGAACCAGAAGAGTGTTAGGTTTTTCAAGACATGGGGTAATATTAGAAACCTGCCAATGAGAAATCATGTCTTTCTTCTCATGAAAGTTTCTTAGCAAGTGAACAGTGGTTAGAAAATACATCCACATTTCTGAGTCTCTTCCCTTAAAGAGTTTAATGCATTGTATATACCGAAAAGGCTTAATGGATTTCGAAATCTACAATGAGTTTTATCTTTTCACTATTCCCATTAATTTATATGCTGACATGTGTACGTCTCTGACATGTGTTAAAGTCTAGGTAATTTTTAATGCTGGCGATGGTATTGGAAGTATACACTTCCCATCCACTCTGGAAAGGTAATTTCACAACACGCATAAAAAGCCTTAAAATGTTTAAACTCTTTGTCCTCGTCATTTCTCTTTTGGAAATCTATCCTAAGAAAAAATTCAGACATTAAAAAAAAAAGATTTAAGTACTCAGTGTTATTTCCAATAGCAAAATATTAGAAAACACTTTAAAGCTCAATAATAGGAGAATAGTTAAATAAATTATGGTTCATTAAATGATGGTGCATTATGCAGCTATTAAAAGTTATGTTTTTGAAGAGTAGTTAATGACACATGGAAAATGTTCATTATAGAATGTCAAGTGGAAAAAATAAACACAATCATAGTTGAATAATAAGTGTAATGTAATTTATTAATTATCCATTATGTAACTCTGAAAGGTAGGTGTTTTTATTCCCGTATTGCAGAAAAGGAAACAAAGGCTCAGAGAATTTAGATGAGAGATAGAGACCAAGAGAAAGAAAAAAATGCTCGATGGAAAGACACAAAATGTATTGGTGGTTACCATGGAGAAGTGGGAACCAGATACAATCGTGTTCTTTATGCATGGTGGTAGTCTCCACCGTAAGTATGCATTACCGTTGGAATCAGAAAAGAATAAATATCATCAACATAGTCTGTGCACCTAAGGCACGGATGGCTTTGGAAAAGAACTTTTTTTTTGAGCTGGGCTGCATGAAGCAGGATTTACTACCCCAGTTCTAGCCTTCAAACAAGCAAACTTGAGCACAATCTTGCTTGGCTCTTCTGGCCTCTGGGTAGAGGTAGTTCAGACACAGATATGCCCGACCTGAATCAGGGCTGGCAGTCTCTGTACAGCTGTCTCCTCTCACTGCATTTAATTTCCTGTTGCCAAACAAAGCATCTGGTAAATTCAACCACACTCAGAGTTTTGGCACTAAGTGCAGCATTTCTTAAAAGCATGGTCCAGCAACCCCCAACATTGGAATCACCTGGGTTCCTTCTTAATAACATCAATTCTTAGGCCTTTCAGACCTCCTGAAACAAGATGAGGATGGGAAGTCTGCATCTGGAACAAGAGCTCCAGGTGATTCTTGTGTACACTAATGTTAGACAATCACTGCTCCAGGGGACTCTACCACTAAAAGAAAGAAAAGAAAGAAGCCAATACTTAACCTAGTGAGAAGTTCTATAGGGCAGATATCCGGGGGCAGAAAACGCTTCTAATCACATCAGGTCAGCAACTTCCTACTAATATCCTGACTCTGTTCCTCGCCATTTGGGATGACCTTTACTTTGGGAAATTACTCTCACTCTCTGAGTCTCATTGTTCTTATCTCTGAAATGGGAGTAATAACAATAATAGTAATATAATAAGTATTATTATGGCTGGATCTACCCTATAGAACAAAAGCCAAAGTTACTCTTGCCTGAAATGTAAGTGTGCAGTGATCAATGAGTCCTCAAGTCAGACTTATACATATATACACACACACACATACACACACACATATATATATATGGTTGTTGCTGTTGTTGTTTTGAGACAGGATGTTGTTCTGTTACCCAGCAGGGAGTGCAGTGGTGCAATCATAGCTCACTGCAGCATCAACCTTCCAGTCTCAAGTGATCCTCCTGCTTTAGCCTCCCAAGTAGCTGGGACTACAGACACACACCACCATGCCCAGCTAATTTTTTATTAATACAATTTTCAATAGAGACAGGGTCTTACTATGTTGCCCAGGCTGGTCTCAAACTCCTGGCCTTAAGGGTTCCTCCCATCTCAGCCTCCCAAAGTGCTAGGATTATAGCACCATGCCCAGTGTCTCAAGCCAGATCTTTTTTTTTTTTTTTTTTTGAGACGGAGTCTCGCTCTGCCGCCCAGGCTGGAGTGCAGTGGCCGGATCTCAGCTCACTGCAAGCTCCGCCTCCCGGGTTCACGCCATTCTCCTGCCTCAGCCTCCTGAGTAGCTGGGACTACAGGCGCCCGCCACCGCGCCCGGCTAGTTTTTTGTATTTTTTTAGTAGAGACGGGGTTTCACCATGTTAGCCAGGATGGTCTCGATCTCCTGACCTCGTGATCCGCCCGTCTCGGCCTCCCAAAGTGCTGGGATTATAGGCTTGAGCCACCGCGCCCGGCCTCAAGCCAGATCTTTAAGATGGTGTGCAGATCCTCTATGACCCACTCTCTCTTTTCCCATAAGCTCTCTGACACCATCTTCTACTCCCCTTTCTCTCACTTCATTCAGGGACTCCATTCTCTTCGTTTTTCTTAAACATGCCAGGCATACTCTCAACATAAGGCACTTGAATTGACTGCTCCCTCTGCCTGGATATCCGCATGTCTAATTCCATCACCTCTTTTGCTCAAGTTATCTTTTCCATGCCACCATCCTCTTTGAAATTTCAACCCCTTCCTCATGATCATACTTCTAGTCTTCCTCCCCTGCTTTTCTTCATTTTCTATTGCACTTTCGCCTGCTAATATGCTATATAATTACCTCTGTATCATCCTTATTGTTGCTGTCCCCACCTCCCACACATCTCTGTTGGGATGGAAACCACACAAATCTAGGAGTTGTTGTCTTTTTGTTGTTGTTCTCTGATGTCCCCAGGCCCCTTGAACTGTGCCTGGCATGTGGCACATACTCAGGATATAGTTGTCAAATAAATGCCCAGGTGAAGGAATGAAAAAAGAACTTGAAAAATCTCCTCCACTCCCTCATTTACCAGGGAGATTGATAGTTACTTAAGGCAGAATGACTTGAATGTTCAGGGATTTACTTACTTGCCTCTTGTTTTATCTGGGGTTGGGCTAATTTCTCAGAAATCCCTATTAATCTCCCCTATTCTTCTTGTCAAAAAAGGCTTTGCATCTCTGAGAGGGACCTAGATATAGGTACAGATGACAGAGATAGGTACAGACATAGGTACAGATGACTGTTCAACGGCGGGCCAATGGGCAACGATTTTGCCATGAATATTGTTTATGAAAAACAACATAAATCAAATGGCTCTGAAAAAGATGGGTCAACACCTCCCTTCCCAAAGACATGAGGGGAGAAAGCGTTCTGCAACCTACCCAGACCCAGGAGGCCATGATTTGTTCTGTTAAGACAAGCTTTAACAATCACAGTCGTCTCACCCAAGAAGCCTCTTGACCTCATGAGGTTAATAAAATTTCCCAAGTAAGTAAAACCATGTCTGACTCTCTGCCCTTTCAACATCCCCCTGAAGGACCCTCAGAAAACAGAACTACTGACTTAGAAATAAAAATGTGAATAAAGGGGAAGTATTGTAGACTGTGAAACATGCCACATCTCAGCAGTGGGTGTTGTTGGCATTTTAATGACTGCTATTGCCATTATTTGTCCTCACCAATACACTTGAAGATCTCAGTAACTGTTGCTACTTCTTTGCTCTGAAGACCTTCCAATTTGCTCCAAATTGGACTGAGTGATACGATTAGCCCACATCAGCCACTTGTTAATCTGGATAAAAGACCAGCTTTCTTTCTCCATTACCCCAGGTCTCTGTGGAGGTGATCAATAAGAATATGCGAAGCCCCCAGAAGGGCACCATTCCCAGGACAGAGTGCCAGAGGGCAGAGTCACAAAAAGTTTCTTTGCACTGCTTGGACTACTTTATGCCAGACCCACTTGACTTTAATGATTGTTTTTGTCATTCTGCACAGCAAGGTGCAATCTATCTTTTCTGATATTTCAGAACAGGGTGCTCCCCTCTCGTGCTTGGGTTTTTTTCAGATAACCACGCTGGAATTCTTTAGCAATCACTTGCAGTGAGACAAACCGGAAAGCAGAAAAAGGAAAAAATGGATGACCCATGGAGTATTCAAACCACACCAAGCAGCATTTCTCCAATTCCTGGCACGCAGTCACAGATAAGAGGGAGCTGAAAGAATCACATCTCCTTTGGAGCCTGAGGCTGTTATCTACAAAGATAGGGCAGTGGGATGGAAGTGGGGTCCCAACTGAGGAAGACCTTAGATCAAGGTTCTGATACTTTTCATCAACGTGAACTTGAATAATTCGTTTAACCTTTCTGTGACTCAGTTTCTTGAATCACAGATGAGAACAATAATACTTCTTATAGAGATGATGTGAGTACTAGAGGTAATTGCTTAAAGATGTTGATACATAATGAGTACAGAATACATTATTACCGCATGGAGCAATGCCCATTTGAAATCCTCTGAGGGCTGGTGGTTCATTTGTTGTGAACAGAACTCCTCTGTTTCTTAGTCCTTTATATTACTGGTTATTTTTCTCCCTTAGGCAAAGATCTCCGGTGATGGTGATGATTTCCATAATCTTGTCACCTTAATTGCTGCTGTCACTGTAAGTATTGAAATTAATTTTGATTTCTTTTTGTTTCCGCTTAGCACTTCGAATGTGACTAATGGGATTATTTTTGGCTTTGGCTTGGAGCAGTTTTCCCAGGAGCTTGAGCGAAGCTGGCCCGCGTTTTCCAAGTGCGGCCAACTTTCTTTACAGGGACCGTATGTGTTTTGGAAATCTCCGAAAAGAGAATCAGTTAGCTGTGGTCATTTCAGTTAAATGACACATAAATGGTGTATGCTTTCTGCTTGTAAATTCTCTCTTGTATATCTTAATGAAACCTTATGTGTTGAGCTTACTGCAACTTGGGTATTGCAATATAATGCTTTATGTGGATTATGCAACTTCTCATCAAAACTCCAAGGGCTAAAGGTCAAGGTCTTCGCTTTACAAATCAGGAAACTAACTAGTAAGTAGCAAGACCAGGATTCAAACCTGAGCATGTTGCACTCTAAAGCCAATGCTCATTTTGACAAACTAGGCTGCTTCTGCAAATTTGCTCTGATGATTTTTAATATCTACTTTGAGGGTATTTGATTAAGGTAAATATGCCACCTGAAGGGGAGGCTTCCTTCTTTTTGATAATTTATATTGTGCTTGGCTTTCAAGGTTTATTCTCACTTACCTTCCCTGTTTATTCTATCGTGGACTCTTTCCAACATGTAAAGCTACATCCCTTATTCCATTCTTGCCCCTCTGCAATTCATTATCCCCGTAGCAGCTTTACTGTGAACATCTGGAAAACAGAAATCTCATTATATTACATCCACGCCTTAAAATCGTCAATGACTTTCCATTTCTTTTAGGAGGAATCTGTAGTGGATTAAATATAGTTACAATTTTTTTTGTCACTCCTTCCATCAAGAATGCTGGCCCTGTGACTTATTTCGATCAGTATAATGTAGCCCAAAAAAAGTGGTAGTGGCCCATCTAAAGCTGGGCCTTAAGAGACCTGCAGCTCTCAGTTTTGCTTCTTTGGAATGTTCCTTCTTAGAATCCAGCTGCCATGCTGGGAGGAAGCCCAAGCTAGCCGTGTCTTAAACATTCCAACTCCATCCAATATCCAGGTGAATGCATCAGCATGACAGAGCCCAGGGAATGCTAACAAAAGAATCACCTAAGCAATTCATAGAATCATGAAAAAAATTATAAATTATTATTGTTTTAAGCCCTTAAGTTTTGGTGTGATCTGTTACTCAGCAATAGAAAACCAAAACCAAATCCAAAAGCTTATCATGGCCTTCAAGACCCTGCATAACCTGAGCACCGGCTGATTCACTTTACTAGTATCAAGCCATTTTCCATATTACTCACTATGCTCCCAGTAAACTGGGCTTCTTAGAGATTCTTAAACACATCAACCCTTTCTTGATTCAAGACTTTTGCTTTATCATTCCAACTACCTGGGACATTATTTTCTTTTTCTTTTTTTTTTTTTTTTTGAGACAGAGTCAGAGTCTCGCTCTGTCGCCCAGGCTGGAGTGCAGTGGCGCGACCTCAGCTCACTGCAAGCTCCGCCTCCCGGGTTCACGCCATTCTCCTGCCTCAGCCTCCCGAGTAGCTGGGACTACTGGTGCCCGCCACCTCGCCTGGCTAGTTTTTTTGTATTTTTTTAGTAGAGAAGAGGTTTCACCGTGTTAGTCAGGATGGTCTCGATCTCCTGACCTCGTGATCCGCCCATCTAGGCCTCCCAAAGTGCTGGGATTACAGGCTTGAGCCACCGCGCCCGGCCGACATTGTTTTCTTTATTCTTAGCATGGCAGGCTTCTATTCATCCTTCTGGCTTAAATATCCTTCTTTTTGAGAACCGACATGTCTTCCCTATTTAGTGAGTCACCCAACCCTGCTTTTTAATTTATCACTATGTTCTGATTGTTTTATTACTTCCACTGTTATAATTTGCAATTGCATATTTCTCTGTTGACTCATTATGTCTTTCCCAATAGATTTACTTTATTTTATGTTTTATTTACTTACTTTTTTCGAGACAGATCTCACTCCTGTCACCCAGGCTGGAGTGAGGTGGCATGATCTTGGCTCACTACAACCTCTGCCTCCTGGGTTCAAGCGACTCTTGTGTCTCAGGCTCCCGAGTAGCTGGGATTATAGGTGCATACCACCACGCCCAGCTAATTTTGTTGTATTTTTAGTAGAGATGGGGTTTCACCATGTTGACCAGGCTGGTCTCAAACTCCTGACCTCAAATGATCCATCTCCCTCGGCCTCCCAAAGTGTTGGGATTACAGGTGTGAGCCACCGTGCCAGGCCTGTCTTTCCCAATAGATTTTAAATAACACAATGGTAAAGACCAGCTCTGCCTTTTTAAACAGTGGATATTTTGTATCTAGTACTGTGCCCAGACACATGGTAGGTATACAATAAATATATTTGTTGAATAAATAAATGATTGGTATGCCATGCATTCCAGCCCCTGTTAATAGGTTGCCTTAAAGTTATGCTAGGACTCTATCTCTGCCTTTCTAGGCAAAGGCTACGTCTGGCATGTGGACATTTTTCTCCCTTTGCACATTAGGCAGATGTTAGGTGGGATCCTGCATGATAGAAACTCAGCCAGAACTTATGAAATGCAGAGATCATTGGGTGTGAATCATCTGGGTTCCTTTCTTTTTGTCCAAATACTTGCGTGCTTTGGTTTATTTTGTAGGTGGGAATCTGACAGCTACATAGGCAATCTCTATAAATGTAACCTAAAAATATTATGCTCTCTGCTGTACAAAGTATTTTAAAATATATTCCTTTATTTTATCCACCCATTCATTTATCTATATATATATCCATCCTTCCATCTATCCATTCATCCATCTATTCATTTATTTGTTCATTCTCTCAGCATTTTTGTTTTTAACAGAGTTTTGCTTTGTTACCCAGGCTGCAGTGCAATGGTGTGATCTTGGCTCACTGCAACCTCCACCTCCCGGGTTAAGGCGATTCTCCTGCTTCAGCCTCCAGAATAGCTGGGATTACAAGCATGTGCCACCACGCCCGGCTAATTTTTGTATTTTTAGTAGAGACGAGGTTTTACCACTTTGGCCAGGCTGGTTTCAAACTCCTGACCTCAGGTGATCCACCCTCCTCAGCCTTCCAAAGTGCTGGGATTACAGGCGTGAGCCACTGTACCCACCCTGTTTCAGCAAATATTTATTGAGCCTCTTTTATGTGCCAGGCACCATTCTAGACGCAAGCATACAATAGTCAATAAAGCAGATGTGGTCCTGTCCCTAATGAAGATTACTGATGAGTGGCTGGCCATGAAAAGACAAACAAAAATGTTAAAAGTATGTAATTACAAATGGAGAACATTGCTGTAAAATTAGTGAAGAGGGCGCTGTCATATGTACTGACATGCTCACGCTTGCCATGAATATATCACACCTCTTTCGGTCTTAAATGCCTTTCAAAGACCCTCCTATTGCCCTTGACATAAAATTCGTCTTTCTTATAGTCCTTCCATGGCTCCATCCTCCCTTTTCCCCTCTCTTTCCTAAATGACTTCTGTTGTTTCTGTTTTCACACATATTTTCACTTCTAGATCAGAGTTTTTCAACCCCAGGGCTACGTAATTCTTTGTTGTAGGAGATGTCCTGAACATTGTAGAATGTTTGCAGTCTCCTTTCCTCTATCCCCTAGATGCCAGTTGCACTTCCCCCTACCCTCAATTTGTGATAAGCAAAAATATCTGCAGAAATTTCCAAATGTTTCCTGGGAGGCAAATGCACCGTTGGTTGAAAACTACAGTTCTAGGTTAAGAGTATGGGGTTTGGCATTGGGAAGGTTATCCTGTCCTTGTTGAGCACTCTCTACTGTCAATCAAAGTGCACCCGTCCTCCAGCCAAGGGGTGGCTGCATGACTGACATTAGGCTCCTAAAGTACTTCCTCTCTGGAATTTATTCTTAGGTAAAACATTGGATTGAAAACAGGTGATCCATCCTCCTGCCGCTTCCAGAGGAATCTAGCTACTTAAAGTTTCCTGAAACTGCACGTTTTGAGTTCTAGTTCACCTGTCTTGGTGCTTCTTAAAACCGCCCTATATTAATCCAGTAAGCTTCCTTTCTCCCTTAGTTAGAGTCAGTTTCTATGATTTATGACCAAAGAATAACTATCTGGCACATCCTCCTACATACTTAACAATTTTTTAGGATACCAGTAGTTACATATTCCCTGTCTTTTTGTCTCTCTCTCTCCCCTGACCCCTTGCCCCTCCTTCTCTCCCTCTCCTGCTGCCTCCCCCTCCCTCTCTCTCTCTCATTCTGTCTTCTTCCTTCTCTGTTGCTCTTTCTCTCACTTCCACTGCTGTGTCTGGAAAATCCTGCCATTCACCTGGCTCATCATCCTTCAAGACCCAGATTAATTGCTATTTCCTTCCATTAATATTCCAGAAACTTTACACTGGTTCTTCTATTTTCCCCGGGGGACTGTGTACATTCTTTGAGAGCAGCACCGTTTTAGTCTGTTCTCACACTGCTATGAAGACATAGCTGACACTGGGTAATTTATAAAGGAAAGAGGTTAAATTGACTTGCAGTTCTGCATGTCTGGGGAGGCTTCAGGAAACTTACAATCACGGCAGAAGGTGAAGGGAAAGCAAGTTTGGATCTTCTCACATGGCGGCAAGAGAGAGAAAAGTGAGGAGTAAAGGGAGAAGAGCCCCTGGTAAAACCATCAGCTCTCGTTAGAACTCACTCACTATCACAAAAATAGCATGGGGGAAACCGACACCATGACCCAATCACCTCTCACGAGGTCTCTCCTTCAACACCTGGGGATTACAATTCAAGATGAGATTTGGGTGGGGACACAGCCAAGCCATATCAAGCATCTATCACACCACGCTGCTATATTTGCTTGGTCATCTGTGTCCCTGCCATGCAGCACTCCTTTGGGGTGAGGATCAAGCCTCTGAGGGCTGCATGTGTGACAACGGGACTGGGCACACAGTTCCTGCTCAGCCATTGTTCTTTGCTGGGGTAAGTAGACGGATAGATGCACTGCCCCTGCGCAAGGACAAAAGGTCGGAGATTCATTCTCCTCTATGACTGACAGAAATTGTGCTGAACTGTCTCAGAATAAACCTTTCGTGGGTTTGCACTCCTATGTTCAAAGTGCCCTGGGCCAAAATCAAAGAGTTTATTCTTCCTGATGTGCAGAGGACAAACAGTACAAAGTCACTGTGACCTTTGAGATTCTGCTTTCTTCAAAAATAACATGTTTTTTTTGTTGTTGTTATAAAACAGTACAAATGTATTCTAGAGAATTTATATAATACAAAAAGGCATTAAGAAGAAAATAAGAATCACCCATAACCCCAGAACCCAGAGACAAATGCTAGCTTTTTGAAGTACTTTCTTCCGATATTTTCTCTCTATGTACTCACAATTTGTAGAGGTATTTATTTACATACTATTTTTGTTACATGCTTTCTCTCATTTAATCATAAATAACGCTCATTTTCCTTTATGTATTCTTACAGAGCACTGCTTTTAGAATCTGCATACTACTCCACCTTATAGGTAAGCTACTGTCGATTTAATCAATCTCTTTCTTTGCCAAAACTATGTCATTTTCCTATTTTTGGTGGGTGGTGATAAAGTAACACTTTTCTTGTTCCTGCCCAACTTCAGAGCACAATGAGGTTTAGACACAGGAAATTCAGATAGGTGGGGATCAAACTGTCATCTCAGTTACTGATTGGTTACTGATTGGTTTCTAGTTTAGAG